TTCTATGAGGCAGAATATAGGCCAAAATTGGCCAAAACTGAGCAGAACTACTTTTTGTCAGTGGAAGTCCATCTATTCCAATAGCAATTTTAATAACAATATTTGGAGAGACAATTATTGAAGAATACCTTAGAATACCTTCCCTTAAACCAAAATGGAAATATATTCCATTTGGATCTACTTCCCTTAAATTTAATACTTTTTTTGATCCAGAATGAAGCAATGTTCGGCAATCCTTAGGTAAATAATTAAGTTGTGCTTTAAATTTTAAAATTGATAAGAGTTTATTAATTGCATTCTGAGGAATATTGCAATCAACGGCCCAATTTCCAAGACACTCTTGTACATGCTGTTGTTGTAGGTGTATTGGTAAATTATCATGGACCTTTAATTTTTCAAATATATTAACAGGCATCACATTATTTTTCTCAAGAAACCCATCGGTTATAATAGGATTTGTGTTACTATCATCAGAATTTTTTTCAGAGTTTAAAATATATGAAGAGTGATGACTATCATGGGAAATTATTTGTGTTGCCGGATTAGAATCAATAGAATGTAATATTTGGTTAGAAGACATAGAAGGAATAATCTCTTGTACATCTTGGAAAAGGTTTGAAAATGCATTATCTCTAGGCCATTCATAATTTAAGACATCTAATTCTTTTTGTATTTTTCTTCATTTAGCTCTACTATTTGTGACTTTCATCATTTTAACTGTAATAATATACAATACCATATTTAATGTAAGTAGACATATTATAATTTACAGTGACACTTATGATTCTATTTCTTTTCTTATTATTGTTCATAATCTCAATACAAATTTAAAATAAATCTAAAAAATGTTGTTCTCCTACATTAGTATTATAAAGGGAAATTCAGTTTTACATTGTCTTGATTTTATAATGAAATGCATAATATAATCATTGAATTTTTTTTCTAATTTATAGAAATATTTATGTTACCTATTTGAATTAAATAAAGTATCTATTTGATTACTATTATCATATATTTAAATTATTGTCAAATTATTTTGAATATTATTTTTTTCTTAATAAATTATTATTTAAATGAGACCTATATAATTATATAAACTGAATAATAAAGTTACTTCTATTCTGACACATATATATGTATAAGTATGGATCTAGGACAATTCGCCGTGGCCATTTCGACGTGGCCGTTTCGCCGTGGCCGTTTCGCTGTGGCCATTTCGCCGTGAGGACATTTAGCCGTGGCCGTTTCGACGTGGTCATTAAATATTTTCGTCGTATAATAATAATACATTTATAATATATTAGTCATATTCATAATTAAAAATATAATAATAATAGATAAAAATTAATAAGAATAATACATTTTTTAGACTATATTTCGTCATAATAATAATAAATTTAATAATAAATATTTTCGTCGTTATAATAATAATACATTCATAATATATTCGTCATATTCATAATTAAAAATATAATAATAATAGGTATCAGGTATCAGGTGGAAAACGTGCGTGCCGTCTACCTCTACTATTTCTATTTACCCTTCCAATATAGTTGTCTTCAAACCATTCTAATAAAGTATGAAACTCTTCACGAAGGTACTCGGCCAACGCGTCAACAGCAGCATCAAGATTTTCTAATTTAACAAACGCTAGTGCAAGTGTGCAACAATCATTTTTACAGAAACTGCAAAGTCGGAAATATTATTATACTGAGAAATAAGATGTAATTCACCGAGTTGTTTTCGAATATTTTTCGTCAAATGAAATAAACACCCAAATATTTGAACATTAGGAAATGCTATTTTAATTGATTTTATTGCGGCTTGTTCAAAATCACATGAAACAGAACTAGGATTTAAATCGGGTTTTAAATTTTTTAACATTGAAAACATTTTATCGTACGTTTTTGATTGTTTATCTGGTAATAAAATATATACTAATGGAAGAACACTGTCTAGATATTCGGCAAGTATTACATAAACTTGACTAAACAGAGGAGGTGCAATTTTAAATGTACCGTCTACATACAATATTTCAGAGTTCTATAGTATATCAAGACTTCGGGAACGACCAAAAATGAATATTCTATCCGGACTCGGACCACTATCATCTCGCAAGAATAATTTGACCACGGCGAAATGTCCCTACGGCGAAACGGCTCGCGGCGAAATGTCCTCACGGCGAAACGGCCACGGCTAACCGGCCATGGCGAAACGGCTACGGCGAAATGTCCCATTTCGTATAAGTATATATAAACTTAAATTATTATTATTATTTCGTATGGCGTCAATGAGCAACATCAACAACACTTAGAATATTAAAAGATATAACATCTACATAATTAAAATAAAAAGATGGTCAACAGTGATAAAACTCTACATAAAACATAAAACATAAAACATAAAATATATAAAACATAATACATAAAATAGATAAGGGGTTCCCCATTTGGTGAATGTACGGGTCATGCTATAGCTTCACATCCAGGTTCTTCATCCATTCCACCGCTTCTTCCTTCATCAGGTGGATATCTTTTATGGTGCCTTTAAATGCGTGAATTGGACATTCAGTGATGATGTGATTGATCGTCTGGGATTCATAACCACAGTCACACGTTTCATTGTCACGCAGTCCCCATTTATACATCATGTGACCGCTCCTACCATGACCAGTTCTAATACGGTTTAGTGTTACCCAAGTACTTCTTTCGAGGTCAAATCCCGGTTGTTTGATAGTTGGGTTTGTCACCAGTTTTTGGTTATCTGGATTTTCTATTGTCCAATCGTTTTCCCATTTAGAACTTATATTGAATTTATCTTTGGTGAGATCCCTTGCTGTTTTCCATGGTGGTTTACGCGACTTGAGTCGTTGAACACCTTCTAATGCAGTCAGGTCCGTGTGTATGGGAAGGAAGGGGTTATTAGCGTACTTTATCCATTCTTGCAATAGTGCATGTTCTCTTCGTAACTTAGGCGGAGCAATGTTACTAAGCACTGGTAACCATTTTAGTGGTGTAGACTTTGTCAACCCACCAATTGAGCGCATAGCCGCATTAAGGTGTTTGTCTACGTTCTTTGTGTGGACGCTGTTAAGCCAGACAGGGGCACAATACTCAGCTGCAGAATACACTAATGATAGCGTGCTTATACGTAACGTATTCGCATCAGCTCCCCATGTTGAGCTAGATAGCTTTGAAATGATGCTCTGACGGGTCTTGACTTTTGCTGATAGTCTGGTTAGGTGTTCTCTATAAGTGAGTGTTCTATCTAGAACCACTCCTAGGTATTTTGGGTGTTTAGCATTTCGTACTATCTGATTTCCAAACATTTTCAAAACATAGGATGAAAAATTGACATATCATATTTGGTATGAATTGTTTTGAAAATGTTTTGATCATATATGGGGTTAAATATTTGATTTTCAAATATTTACAAAACATACGATGGAAAATTGATATATAATATTTGCTATGAACTGTTTTGAAAATGTTTTGATCATATATGGGGTTAAATATTTGATTTTCAAATATTTACAAAACATACGATGGAAAATTGATATATAATATTTGCTATACAATGTTTTGAAAATGTTTTGATTATATTTGAATTTAAATATTTAAAGATCAAATATTTTCAAAATAATTTAACAATATTCTAAAAACAATATTTACAATGAAACCTAATTCAAATATATTGAAAATATTATTATTTTAAAAATGCTGTGTGGGTATAATACGCTTATAATATAATATATTATATTCAATAACAGATATAAATGCTGCAGGGGGCACGTAACCCGATAATAGTAATAATATAAGCGTCCGGGCAGCCACATCGATAAGAGCATAGAACTAATTAATGGTACAGCGCGAACCCTGATAGGTATACGCTCACATTATCCATATTCTATGAAAGACGAAAAAGCCGTAAACAACAAAAATAGATAACTTTGAAAACATATAATCCCCAATTAACATTATTTCGTAGAGGACGCCGAAATGACGTCAGGTGTACGCGGCTATGTACCATTTTTATACTAAAAATGCCATAGGAGGGATCTAATAGGAATACCGACGAAATACGTCGATGGACAAGTGTCCATCAGACGAACACCAGCCGAGATGACGAGCACTAGCAGAACAGCCACGAAGTCGATACTAAGTCACAACCCGTTTACCACATTTTTATAATTTAATTATTTGGACTTAGTCTATTTTATGTGTTAAATAAATACAACTGAACTATCATTACAAAATCAACTTGTTATTTAATTCAAAATACCATCAATATTGAGTTGAAGTGGTTGGTACGTTACAATACTGATCCTTTTACACAACCAATAATTATTGTACCTGCCGAGAATAACACTGATTTAGAATTACAAGAAAATATTAACGACATTTTCAATTTAAATTCGAACGAGGATGAAATCAAAAATTATCAAATATTAGAACCTGCCAGTGTACTTTTCTCAAGTTACATTGATAAACCTAATATTATAGAATCTAATAATGTGATAGAATTGGATCATGATGTAGAAAGTAATAATAATGAGGATAGTTCATATCATCCATCTTCACATTCATCCCAGTCATCTGAATATGCAATCCCTATCAGTGTTTCTAGAAATATAAAAATAAAATCAGTTAAAAGTCCAAAGAAAAAAGAAAACCCTTTAGGTCTCTTAAAAAATGTTTATTTTGATCAAACAAGTTCTGACTCATGTTCAACACAATTATCTGTTCATAATGAGCCAAAAAAACTGACTAGAAAAAGGAAACAAAATGTTAACCGTGCGACTTGGAAACGAGCAATAATAAAAAAAAAAGAATGTCAATATCTCAATATGTTAATAGGTCAAATAAAGTGATAAAAAAAAAAATTCCCAAGCAAGTAAATTGTGAGAAGTGTAAATTTCAATGTGCATTTAATTTTACCGAAGAAATGTGAATTGAAATATGTCGTAATTATTGGGATTTGGGCGATTCCATACGTCAAAAATGCTATTTGACTTCGAATATTGTGGAAAATTCTATAAAAGTCACCGACCAAGAACAGATGATCCCTCAAAACAGAAGACGAAAAGTAAGTGTTTTGAGTATTACCTGACAGATTTAAATGGAATTAAACACAGAGTCTGTCAAAAATTCTTCTGTTTAACGTTGCACATAACATTTCCGGTAATTAAATTGGCAATGAAAAATTGTAATGAAGCAGGAATGTTTGTTGGTGTCGATGGACGTTTAGGAAGAACGCCTCCAAATAAAACGTCTGACAAAATAATAAAAGAGGTAAAAAATCATACACAATAATTTCCAAAAATGGAATCCCACTATTGTCGCCATGATACAAAAAAGTTATACTTGTCATCTTATTTAAATATATCAATCATGTATAGACTTTATTGCAGTACGCCACCTGCTGAGCCTGTATCTAAAATCGTATACACAAGAGTATTCCACGAATTTGATCCAGCATTACCATTTTATAAACCCAAAAAAGATCAATGTACCAAGTGTAATAATTATAATAACTGTGTCGCATCAAACCTAATTACTGATAAAATTAAAACTGATTGGTCAGAGCATAAAAGGAGAGAAAAAGAATCCTTAGATATGAAAAAAGAAGACAAGAACATAGCAATTGATAATAAAGGTAAACATTTTCGTTCAGTGTCATTCGATCTACAAGCAGGTCTTAATCTTCCACATGCTGGAGACTCGCAAATATATTATAAAAGAAAACTCTCAGTATTTAATTTCACTATTTATGAACACCATAGTGCAATGGATACTACTATGTATGGGACGAATTAAATTGAGGAACAGGATCAACAGAAATCGAAATATGTCTTTTACAATATTTAGAAAATTTACCCGAAACAGTCGAACATGTGGTTACATACTCGAATACGTGTGGTGGCCAAAACCGAAATAAATATACTATGACTGCAATTATGTATGCTGTTCAAACAATTGATCACCTTCAGATAGTTGATATCAAGTAATGGAGTCGGGCCATTCGTATCTAGAAGCGGATTCGATGCATGCATGCATTGAACGGGCAAAAAAGCACAAAACAATTTATACAACACGGAAATGGTCACTATTGATTCAGATGGCAAGAATAAAACCGCAATCTTACATCGTTAATGTAAATACATATAAAGATTTTTATGATTTTCAAAGTATGGCATCTGGAACTAATTGGAACCGTAATATAGAAGGTATTAGTGATAAAATGAAATGGCTAAAAATAAAATGGATCCGTTTTGAAAAATCAAAACCATTTATGGTACAATTCAAATATAATTTATCCGATGAAAAATTTATGGAACTTAATGTAATGCCAAATACTCCTAAAAAGACACCAAAAAATACAAAAGCAATAGTTTTGAAAAAAATACAGAAGTACAATAATCAAATTCCAGTTTCTGATGCAAAAAAAAGTGACCTACTAAGCTTGTTGAAAAGCGGTGTTATTCCAAAGGAATATGACTCATTTTACAATAGTATTCCAACTACAAAAAATAAAAAACACACAATTCCATAGTCTGAGACTGACAGCGAAGAAGAAACAACATAATAGGTACTATTATTAATTGTTTTATTTACAATAATTTTTAACATTTCAACTTTGATTTTATGCTTAACAGTACTATTATTTTTTTTTTTCATACTATAGTAAGCCAGTTACTACGGAGTAATACCAATTTCATAAATACAGTTATTATTATAATATACGGTGGACCGGCATAACTAGGTAATAAGAAAATAAGGGTTCAGAAATAGGCGTAGTAACATTTGACAGAAACAAATACCAATTTCATAAGTACATAATTATTATTATAATATACGATGGACCGGCATAACCAGAACAAGGTGATAAGAAAATTAGGGTTCAGAAACAGGCGTTGTAACATTTGACAGAAATACTGAACACACACAACGAGATCCAAAATTAAAAGGATGAGATGATTATTTTATAATAATCATAGGGAAAACACTGAGTGCATACAACGAAATTCAAATAAAAAAAGAGTAAAATAATTATTTTAATAATAGTCATAGTTTAGTATACATTCAATCATAAATGCGTAAGCTGGATCAATGTCCACACAAATCACATCAGTGAGAACCAAGATTACCGTATCTGTAGGCGAGGGGCAAGGGATCTTCATATATTAGGGAGCCCGAATAGGCCTGTACTCAGACGTGTACTACCACCCATTAGTGCAAGCACCTTCACGTCACTCTGAACAATATTATTTTGGACTTAGAAAAATTCTCGAGCGTTATAATAAAATTCACAATATACAACAACTGTCTTATTATTCATTCATCAACCACGACTTTAACATCAGATAAAGTGTCTTTGACCTGCAACTATAACGTTTTGGTAGCCACTTATCTACTATTAACACTACAGTAGTAGGTACCGAGTACCAAGATCGTTACACTGGCGCAGTCGAAAACAGGAGATTCAAGGAGTTAAGACGAGGCGAGCAGTCAAAGCGGCGGATTTAAATTTCCAAAGGCGAGTCTAGCAGCCAAGGCAGCGACATTCAACTTCGGAGGTCCAGTTCCGAAGCAGCGGCTATACCACGTCGACAGCTCCACGGAGGTAACAGTCAAGGTCTGATCAACCAGATGACTCCGGAATCAACGAACGAATTCAAGACAGGCCAGCAGACAGAACAAGGAAAATGAACACAGCAGTGGCGACAGCGTTGTTGTGAGTATATTAATTAAGTTGAAAGATAGATATAATTAAAATTGTATAGCTTGGAGTGCACGTCTCACGTTGATTTTTTTTAAATCAGCGTTTATTTTAAATCTTGGCGGTGGTGTAAAATATTAGGGAAAATATTCGAATAAAAATAAAGAAATAAAATAGGAAACAAGCTTGAAAAGAACTATATACGTATTTTTGTGATAGACAGCTGTAGACTGATCTAGGATTTTTTTTTATTATGGTAAATAGACAGCGGGGACTGATCTAAGATTTTTTGTGATAGGCAGCAGGGACTGACCTAAATATTTTATAGTAATAGACAGCGATAGACTGATCTAGGAAATTGATGCACGCGCGTAGCATTTTGAATTATATATGGGAATAATTGATTAAAGTGGAATATTGAATTTTTGAATTGAAATATAGAATGATAGATAATTGTTGAAAGACATTAATTGACATATATTGAAGAAAAAAGATTTTGAATTAAAAGGCAGTAGATGACCTTGTTAAAGTAATTGACGTCAAATTTTGAAAAGTTTTTGAAAAAAAATAACTAATTATAGGGGCCCTAGGATAAGAATTAGTATAACATTACTACGAATAAGTTGATAGAATAATTATTAATGAAAAATTAATTTTTAGTGTTTAGAAAATTAAATGGTAAACTGCGTAAATTAGGAAATTAAATCATTTAGAGAAAAAAATTAGTAATAAGAAAAATAAGGGATAGAAAGTCGAATATTATTAGAGGGATTTACGGAGTAGCTAACCGGGGATTGTTTTTTATAATATTCGAGCGTAGTACAAGCGCGTACGCATGAAACATCGCGGAACATGTCGAGCGGAACGGGTGAGGGGATAAACCGTATCGAAATTTAACACGCGTAGCATAGGCGATCGAACGTTTTACGTGTTATTAGATAGGTACTCATCCATTTTCAACGTACGACGCGCGTTTACGTAATTTCTTTTAATTATTTGTGCATGCTAGTTATTTTATAAGTAATAATTTTTACGTATTATTAATTTTGGTGATAGTAATTACATATTAATAGTTTATAATTAATAATAGTATATACATGTGGAGTAAATACTATTGGTAATTACATACGCGGATAGGATATTAGTAATTTAATAGATATAATTTATAAAAATGATATATACCTAATGTTTGGATAAATATATGTCAGAATCCGATAGTTCAGATATTGACACTAGTTCTGCGGAGAGTTCAATAAAAGTAGAAAAATATAAACCTAAGAAAGAATTAAAAGCGGCAATTTTAAAGACGCTGTAAAGAAAGAATTTTTAGAACGAACTAGGAAACAGATAGTTAAAACTGAAAAAGCTGTTAAGGAAAAAATTGTAAGAACACATAGTTTAACAGAACAGATAGGTATCACACCACGAAAAAAGGATCAAACCGTAAGTCGTTTAGGAACTAGGTCAGACTCAAGCGTAATTCACGTGCAGTTAGAATCAGTGGTTAAGAAAAAAATGAGTAAAATGGATTTAGATAAAGCAATTGCTATGATACCTATTTGCACGGGCAAAAAGGACGTAGCTGAATTTATAAACATTTGTGAAATCGCAATTAAGGAGACAACGGAAGCAGAAACACCGATATTATTGAAAATAATTACTTCTAAGTTGACAGGAAATGCGTTAGAAGTAACAAAATATCGAAATTTGGAAACATGGGGAGCAATAAAAACAATATTAGGAGGGGCATTTGAGCAAAAAGTATCGGAGAGGGCCCTATCAATAGCTTTAAACACGGCACGTATGGCGGAGGGAGAAAGTGTGGCAAAATTCGCTAGTAGAATCGAAGAGTTATATTATAAACTCTGCGCGGCAAGTACGGTAGGTCTAACTCCAGCCGAGGCAGATATATTGAAGAAACAAACAAAGAAACAGGCAATGATCATATTTATGACAGGCTACCTCATCACCTATATACAGTATTGAAAAGTCGAAATCCCAGTACCTTGGAACAATGTTTCAAAACGGCGATCGATGAGATGCTCGAATATGAATCAAAAGTAGAAATGGACAAATTACAGAGACAAATTGGTAATGGAAAACAGGCAGGCGTCAATAACGAGGAAAAACGACAAAACGATGGTAATGGAAACAACGCAGTTAATCGCGGAGGAAACGGTAATTCAAATAAAAACAACAGAAATAATAATTTCAACGGATATAACAACAGATATGTTAACCACAACAACCGCAGTAATTATGGGAATAACAATCGGGGCGGATATGGCTCACACACGGTTAATCACGGCTGTTATCGAGGCGGAAACAGCTATGGACGAAATTTCAATGGCAATAATGTACAACAAAATAATAATAATCGAAGTAACACAGGATGCTACACGTGTGGCAAGTCTAATCACTTAGCACGGGATTGCTGGAGCAATCGACCCAATGTGCAACAAAATATATATAACAATAATCGCGTAAGTGGCACGAACAACCACAATAATGTTCGTAGGGACAATAACAATACTCAGGGTGTACTTTGCAGTTACTGCAATAAGATAGGTCATGCAATTTCAAACTGCTATACAAAACAGAGAAATGAAAGAAACACGTCGGGAAACGCCAACGGACCATCACCAGTGGGAGTCAGATTGGTCCAAGAAATAATTCAAGACCCACACACAGGATTTTCCACATCACAGCAAAATTAATAGACAATCACATTACTTTAAAATCACCTAGTTTTAATAAGGATCAAATTAAATTATTGGTCGATACTGGGGCGGATCTAAATATAATTAAAATTAATGCATCAAAAGGAAACACTGAAATTAACGAAAACGAAAAAATTTATTTGAAAGGCATCAATGAAAAAATAGTTTCTACAATAGGAAAAACAGAAATACAATTAATAATTAATAATGAAGCATTTGAAACACAATTTTATGTTGTAAACAATATTTTTCCAATTTTGACAGACGGAATTATTGGTAATACATTTTTAATTGATAATCACGCAGTAATAGACGTCGCTAATAACACGCTAACAATAAATAATAATAAAATCGGAAGCGATAGTGATATTTGTTTTACATTATAACCGCGCTCAGAAACAATAGTACAAATCGATATACCTGATAAAGAAATGAATAATAAAAATATTTTAATTAATAAACAAGAATTAATACAGGACGTATATTGCGCGAATATTTACAATACAGTAAAAAAAAAAAACAAAATTACTATAAGCATATTAAATATATCTGAAATGACACAGGAAATAAATGTAGGACAAGCGCGTAATATTTCATACGACACGGATGTTTTGACAGATTACGTGCAGTGTATAAACACGATTGACACTGAACGCTCGCGTCGGGTCAGGGCGTTGATACGTACTGATCACCTTCAAGTTCACGAGTATAATTCGATATTAAAAATATGTGAACATTACGCCGACATTTTCTATTTAGAAGGGGATAATCTTACGTGTACTACGGCAGCAGAACACGTAATAAAAATTCCTAAGGATTTGAAACCGATTTATAAAAAACCATACCGTTTGCCGTTTTCACAACAACCGGAGATAGAAAAACAAATAGGTCAAATGATGAAAGATGAAATCATAGAAAGATCAATGAGTCCGTTTAACGCACCATTAATATTAGTCAAAAAGAAAGAGGACGCCTCGGGGAAACAAAAATTCAGAATAGTTATCGATTTTAGAGCACTTAATGAAGTAACTTTAAATGAATTTCACCCATTACCAAATATAACGGAAATATTAGACCAATTATTACAATGCCAACTGTTCAGTTTGATAGATT